TTAGAGGCTCCTTCACCGCGCGATTAGCGCGACACCATGAAAACGGTTTATGTGACGTAGTAGTGCAACATTTGCTGATATGGAGGATGCTGCTAGTACAGCATCCACTGATATGGAAGATGCTGATACTGCATCTGCTGATACAGTGTCCACTGATACGGTTTCCGCTGATATTAGTTGCTGTGGTAGCTGCTAACTACTTCTCCTCCCCCCTTACTATCTGAGTAGAAAACTGTCATAATAATCTGTTTCTGTTATTGTCAAGAATTATCTGCATCATATGTCTGTTTATTATGGAAATCACCTTGTGTTTCATGATGCAAGTTATTCTGCTCAAGTGACTTCGCGGATTTTTTGCTCTACCGGCATGGTAGATGGCAGTAGGAATCAACACGATGTATATGTAGTACATATTGGCTATGGTGCACTGCACTGCACTTCACTATCTTTAGTGTGCGGTAGCCAGTAACCTTGAAGAATTCTTACAGTCCTGCTGGACTTACCGAGGAAACAAAAAGAAACTTTTTTAGTGTGGATTTGTACAAACCCCGCTACATTAATTTTTGCAAATAAATTAGTAGTACCTTGACAAAAATAAATTATTCATTTTTAACTTAAACATTCAGTCATTATTGTGACAACAAGTCATTCTAGCAATAACCTAGTTTTTGCACCGTTCTAGTACTCGTAAGTTTTTTTGGCCGCTGCCGTAACCAATTTGTACATAATTTTCCTACTACTGTTGCAAAATTAGTTGCATCACATGGTCTCAACCCCACGGTCATTCTACCGTTCGAAGGAAGGACAGACGGTCGACAGTCAAACAATTTACGACGGAGGCACGTTTCGATCGTTGCCGGCACGAAATTTTGTGACTCACTCATCACTGACAACATCACTCTCATCTATCTATGTTTGGTACCGGTACGTACGTAACCGTAGTACAGTGCAGAACTGGTTCCAAAACAACTCATCCGAAAATAATGAGCAAGTCCTGTCGTTGTCGCTGATAACACCCTTGTGTAGACCTTGTCCTACTGTAGTATTCTACTGACAAGTCAAAAAGATGCCATCATCGACTTCACCACCCAGGAGGATGAGCAAGCAAACATGAAATAATGTGCCTTGAGACGCAAACGAAGCGGTTTGGTCGTCAAGATTGTGTCCTGCACTTTCTGCATAAATCAAATACAAAATAAATCTGAAATAGAAGAACCAGACAGTCTTACGTAGTCAACTTAAATCACGATGAAACTTGTCCTCCTTTCCAGTGTTGTTGCGACCGCCTCGGCCTTCGCGCCAATGTCCGCCATCTCAATCAATACCGCGCTTCGCTCGTCCACTGAAGAGCAGCTTGAGGTCTCCGCCGTGGAAGAAGTTGAAGCTGTCCAAGAAGTTGTTGCTCCTACACCCATCAATGGATGGGTTCCGGACGAAGGTCTTCCATGCTACGGACTTCCCGGAGCTATTGCACCCACTGGATACTTCGATCCTATCGGATTCGCTCGTGACGGCATCACCCTCAACGAAGTGAAGCGCAACCGTGAGGCCGAAGTTATGCACGGACGTGTTGCAATGCTGGCCTGTGTTGGATACCTAGCCGGAGAAGCCACCGGAGGTCCATTTGGTTTGGTTGGACCGGCTAACGACCAATTACAGCAGGTTCCTCTTCCTGCATTTGCTCTGATGACCGTCGGAATCGCCGCCGCCGAACTCAACAGAGCACGAATTGGATGGGTTGAACCAAACTTTGGTTCCTGGTCATCCACTTTGTGGAAATTGCGAGAAAACTACTATCCTGGGGACATTGGTTTCGATCCTCTTGGTCTCAAACCAACCGATGCCAAGGCTTTCCGAAACATGCAGACACGGGAACTCCAAAACGGACGACTGGCGATGCTTGGTGCTGCCGGTATGTGTGCACAAGAACTCGTCAACCACAGGACTATCTTCGAAACGATCGAATTCTACTCGAAGGTATACAGTGGGGAAAATCCGTACGCTGCTTGTGGTGAGGGTATCATCTGTTAACACAGTAGAAAAACATAAATCTGTAATCATAGAATCATAATAAATGCATCGAAAAAATTTCACCCTTGCCTTTCAGTCAAAAAGTATCAAGAATAAATTAGATTATGGTTGAAACTAACGGAATATATAGAAGTCCGCAACTCGAGTCACTCTTCGCTTCATGAAAGAAGGTACTGTCCACTCTCTGCACATGGACAGAATATGTGAACATCTCGAGGACGAAACCTTGAGAAAAACAAGGTATGATTAATTATCTTGCCCGTATTCTTACTCAAAGAGTAAGGCTTCTGGATCTAATTGTTGACACAGCTGTTGACTACAGTCGTGCTAGGTTCAACCTGCTAGCTGTTTTCGTCCTGATATTTTTTGGTGCTAGCAGCAGTACTAGTAACTACACTGGTTCAGGATAAGCAACAAATTGCTTGTAGATTTCCCWACCTACCATATTAAACTGCTGTCCCGCGTGAAACCGCTCTCCGCACGATGTTCTGAAGATAAAAAAATACCACTACTCGTACCCTACGGTACGTACCCGTACCCGTAAATGTGGTGTACCACGTTCTTCATCGTCGTGACTGTTTCCTATCGCTTTTCTTTCTGAAAACAATCGAAACCCGAAACTATATTGTTGTTCAGGACGGCGTAATTGTTCAGGACGGCGTAAAAGGGAGAGAGTAGAACGAGCGGCTGCGATGAAAAATACATATCATTGCGAACGAGAAACAAAAATCAAGCGGAACAAAGAATGCCACAAAATCCGTTTCGGCTTCACAATGACAACGGCGATGAAGCCTACGAATGTCGCAGGCGACAGTTCTACCATTTGTTCGGAGTGTTTCTGATATTGGGTTTTCTCTCTTCGGAAGCTTCGGCGTTTTGTAGCAGTAGCCCTATCGTTGGAATTCCACGTGGGAATCACGAAAACTTTCATCAGCGTAGCACTGTGATCAAAAACAGAAAATTTTCGACAGGAACAAGCACAACAATTCCCACAAGGACTAACAACCGAGTAAAGCTACGAAGCACAGAATCAGAAGGAGAGGAGCAACGATCGCTGCTGGAACAAATCAGATACCGTCGAAAGACACGATCTGAAATTCGGCGAGACCGACGACGAAAGAAAAGGAAACTTTCTGAAACTAATCCGTCGCTCTCGACTACTGTCCCGCATTCCGGCCGACATTTCGTTCCTTCTCATCCGAGCTATCGTCGCCCGTTGGTCCAGCGATTGTTTTCGAAACTGCGATTCAGAAAACGATTCATGGAAGGCTGGTATTATCGATTGACTCTGAAAGAATATGATATTGATGATTGCAATATCAAAGGAAAAAGCGAAACCAACGCTGTAAGTTTTGCCATCATAATTTCCATCGAAGATCCAGGCATCAAATCGAGCAATTTGCGATTGGCTTGTTTACAAGCGATCGGCCCAAACGATCAATATTTGGTACAATCGACAAAAGACGATACAAAATTCTGGGCTTCCAAAAAGAGCCAATCGCTAGGGTGTACATTTAACGAACACGACAACAACAATAACACTGCCCATCCAAAATCACGACTCGATCCGGATGTGTGGAAGGAAACGGTAAAATCTGGCTTTCAGATAACTGACGACTCGTCGTTCCGAACGGCATCTACACCCAAACATTTGTACAAACCAAGATGGATGGGACGGATTCATGGTCACGATGGATCGCATGGTGGAGTCCTAGAAGGCCAGGGCGTCGGGGGCACGCTCGAGTTCGATTTTGAGTTGGATCCAGACTCTGTTTGTGGATATGGCGGGTACACTACCACGATCGGTGATGCAAATGCAACTTTTGGTCATACAGCAAACACCACAAAGAGTAACCAAGGAATCCCTGATTTTTCAACGACGAACGGAAGTGCTGGGAAAAGGCGGCGGCAGAGCCGGGATGCAAACCGACAAAAAAGTACGGGAGGGTGGTTAAGTTCCTTTCCCGTTTTTGAACCTCACTGGCAGGTTACGATAGCCGACGCGTTAGCGACTGGGAAAATCAATTGGAATGGAACAGAGTACAGATTCAAAGACCAATCGTTCTATGCCGAAAAGAACTGGGGAGATGCCTTGCCTTCGAAATGGTATTGGACCCAATGCAATTCTTTCGACAACATTGAGGAAGAATTGTCAGTAACGGCCGGAGGAGGTGTCAGAAAACTGCCATTTGGGAAAGAAGAAGAACTGGGGATGATCGCAATACACCACAAGGGTCAATTCTACGAAGCTGTTCCGTGGAAAGGAAATGTGGAATGGAATGTTTCGACCTGGGGAGAATGGAGTTTATACGGCGACCGCCTCGAGGAAACCATAGATCACGACACGGGTCGCATAACGCCAGCATTTGCGGTGGAAATTCAATACCGGTGCGATCCAGATAAGCTCCCTGGATTGGTATTTCGGGCGCCCACACCAAAGCAAGGGATGGTCCCTTTTTGTCGAGATACCTTCGAGGCCGACACCGTTTTGACCCTGTGGGAACTGAAGCGAAACGAGAACACCAACGAATTCGAAAAGATAGAGCCCCCCATCATCGATCGCGCTAGGTCAAAAGAAGGTGGTGCCGAGATCGGAGGGGGGCCATGGTGGGAAACTTGGAGTGGAAAATCGCAACTGAAACCTCTGATAAAGACGTTATTGAATATTCCAAATCGCTTTCTCCGCTACTGACAGGTACCTCGTGTCGCGGGAAAAAACGCTGCGACAACCCGTGAGCGAGGGACTTGTGAAGGTCACAAAGTTCGTTTAACTTAAGTGTGTTCAGTTTTAACAGACAACGGCCATCACATGCCGGTGTAGTCATTTTCTTCATCCAAATATTTATTCGAAGGCCCTACTCTAGACGTTTCAATTCAGATACTCTTTTTTGTTCTACTGCTTTTAAATATATGCTGTAAGGTTCTTTCCCTATTTTCTAGTCGCATTTCACGCGAGAATAAATGTACTTCACAAAAACTAAGCTGAACTGGAATCCAGCCGCTCCAAGCATTAGGAAGAAACCAAATGACACAACTGCCATGTACCCGAAGTAAAAGGATGATTGCAAGATACCCGACATTCCACTTCTTTGGAAGTAATAGTAGAAGGAGTAAATGTAGATGAATACCCCAGTCATTCCTCCGTTAATATAGGCAGCCCACCACCATCTATGATCTTCCCTCGCAAGTTGGAAATAGAGCAACGCGACGGTGATAAAAGATGTGACAATGATCAAGAGAATGAAGGCGAGAAGGAGGATTCCGAAAAGAGTATAGATTTGATGACCCCACATGGAAGCGAAAATGTAGTGTAGCTCGATGTAGATTGCCGAGAAAGGTAGAAATCCAGCGATCAAAATTTGGAATGGTCTACTTCTGTACCATGGAATTTCTGTCGGAATTTCACGAGCAACCTTAGTGGTACGGGTTGGAGCATTGAATTCGGCTGGGACATAGTTCTTTGCAACGATACCACCGAAGACAGTAGTGGGGAAAGCAATGAATCCATATAGGCAAGTGACAGTCAATATTGTTGTGAACGGAAGAGCGCTGGTCGATCCATGAGCAAGTGCCACCGAGTTCACCCACATGAAGATAGCAACGGTCGGTGCGGGAAACAAAGATGCAGTGAGAAGGATACATCTGACCCAGTTCTTTCCATTCATTTGACGATACATGCGAATGGAGCTGTATCCCGCCACAAATGAGGTCAAGCAGTACAGGACTACCGCGCCGGCAAGAAGCGAGCCTCTGCGAGTAGTCGAGATGAGACCAGTTAGGGCTAAGCCAAGATGGCAGAATGTCGTGACAATCAGCTGATTACCCACACCAACAGCTGCGCAAAATAGTCCAGGGTTTTCGGGAAACCTGAACACGTCTCCGTGAATCAATTTCCATCCCGACTCTTCTTCCTCGATCGCCTCGTCATCCAATTCCATGTATCGTGAAAAGTCGTTCTTGAGTACTCTCAACAAGATGATGGTCAAAAATGCAGTAAGCAGAAGTACCAACACAATCGAGTTAATGATAGAGAGCCAATGAATTTCGAATGAACTAGGCAAGAACCGCGAATCAACGTAACGGTCCATACGCCTTCTCCACACCAAATCAGGTTCGTCAACCCATTCCACTGAGTATGAGAATTGAATGTGCAGTTCCTTCGTAGTATCAGTGATGTCGACTTTTCGCTCCGTCTACACAATAGCGAAAATAAAATAGTGGAAGAATCAGAGAAGGAATTGGAAGGAACCGAACCCCGTCGTGATAGATCCACCACGAATCCAGTACCTGGAAAACTAATCCCAAGGACGATCTGATTAACTTACATCCGTTGTAACCTTAGCAGATACAATTTGGTTGTTATTCCTACCAAGAATGAAGTTGAGATGCGGAAAGAGGAATGTCTTGCTGTCTTGCATTTCACCAACGATCATGTCTTCATTATCGATGTCGCCAATGTATCCCCACATAGGAAGATCCTCCACAAACATTTCAAAAAAATAATTGTTGTGGATTGCTTCCTTTAATTTTTTGATATCAACTGGCAGCATGTGCTTTTTGCACAACAGGCGCCATTCAACGGAATCATCGAACGAAATCTCGTACGGAGACGACTCACGGCGATCACCTACAATCGACTCCCCCAGACGCTGCTTGTGTCTTTGTGCACCTACTTGTTTGATACCTTGAAATTTGTGTAGTTCCACCTCTTCTTCCAATGCAGCATCGGATTCTTCTTCTTCCGTTGAATGTTCGTGGCAAAAGGGAAGACTGTAGTAACGATAAGTTTCGGTTGGGTTGTTGAAAGGTCTGCGATTTTTTGTGATGAAAAAATTAACTATTGTCAGTTCCGGTTGAATATCATTCAATTGTTTGGTGATGCATTATTGTCGTCTATTGGTTCATCGCACATCCATGAATTCGAAACCAGAGGTTCATGTTGTTCGATCCGTGGTATTCCTTCTTAGCGTCTTGACCATAATCTTTTCCGAAAAAGTCATTTTATGCTAATACGTAGAACCTCTACTGTGTTCTACAGCGCGCAGCGCGATCTTGGCACTCACCCAACTTTATTCACGACGATGTGAACGTTTTCATGCTCTTTGTAAATCTTTCCGGATTTTACACGCCTGATCTTCTTGGCACCATCCACGATGGCAATGGAACTGAACAGTCCCAATAGCAACAAAATGGTTTGTTTGCCGAGCATGGTGATTATTGTAATCGTTCTACAGATAGGCTCCTGCAGTGTGTCTATGGCGACTACAATTGAAATAATTCTCTTTTGGTGTGTGCTTTCGTTTCACGGTCACTTTTGTGGACAGATTGAACTATTCTCAAGTTGTGTGCGCGCTGAAATTTAAAATTCTTTAGTGCTGTTTGTTCGCGATAAGAGTATTTTTAAAATTATTTGGATGACTCGTAATTGTACGATCGTAGCGGTACGTAGGGAGGTTCGTAATAAGTAGAGTAGTATTAGTAGTTACGAGTACTCCGATCCGCAGTACATGTACCGTACGTAATGTTAGTGGTACCGGTACCAGTACCGGAAGGCCCTTGTGTGATGATGGAAAAAGCTGGATGGATATGGTGGTCCATCTGAATGCTTGTTGTTGTTTTGCATCATGTGAACCAAGAAGTGCAAAATGAATTTTATCTGTTATCTATATTGGTCCAGAAATAGAAAGATTAGAATTGTAGTTCAAAGAAGGCTTCTCTTGCTCAAGAAAGTAAAAATACTGCTAGTAGTACTAGTAGTAGTAGTASTAGTAGTACTACTAGTAGTAGTTCTAGTACTACTAGTACTAGTAGTAGCACAACAACCTCCTTCTTCAACAAGAAGGAAAGCACATGCTTTTGTTCTGATAGTACTCCTAGACTACCAGTACTTGGAGTAGTGATGGTAGCAACAGTAGTGGTAGCAGTAGCAGGAGTACTACTGTGACGTAGGAGGTTTCATTTACTACTAGTAGTAGTATGTAGATAACAAGGTCATGCCAAACTACTGTGCTGCTACTACTATAATTCCTACTAGGAGTAGTACTGGTACTATTATTATATTATTACTATCACTACTAGTACTGCTAAGAACATGTAGGAGGAGTACTAATATTAAGAAGTGCCACAGGGACAATGATCGTTGTGACTATCCAGCAAGATTTCCACCAAGAGTGAAGCTTTCATGAGGGTGTGCTTCATGTTCATATTGGTGACTTTCTCATCATATTACTA